GCCTCCGGTCCCCAGGTGCCACAGCGGGGACCCAGCACGATGGTGACACTGGGGACATGTGGAACCTGGGAGCCAGGGCATGACCCCGCTGGAAAGGATGACGGACAGCTGGGGGGGCACAAGGGGACACTTCTGCTTTCCATTGCAGCCGCTGAGTCACGGACGAGCAGTGGCCGGAACGGCTCAGGGCTGGAGCCAGCCCTGTGGAAAGGGGCAGGAACAAGCCTTGATTGGTGCCCTGTGGCCAACCGTACTCCCAGGACGTTCTGGCACCCTGGGATGGGGGGTCAGGTCCAGAGTAGACATCCCAGGACAGTCTCACGGTCACCACACGGCCGCAGTGCCACCACCTTGCCCTCCTCCTGGGCAGAAGGGTCAGGACACACGCCCTTGGCCATGGCGGTGACAGGACCGTGACGGTGTCAGTGCTGGCACTGCCACCAGCCGCGCCCCGCGCACGGCCCCACAGCACAATGGCCCCTTGTGCGAGGCCGGGCCGCCCCGATAAGCGGGGCAGGAGCGCGGTCCCGGGCGGCTGCCAGCGCTGGCCAGGCTGGGAATGACCTGTGGCTGCCACGGGCACTCCCGCGCCGCCGGAGTCACATTCCTGGGACCAGCCCTGGCCTGCCTGAGCGGCTGAGGCGATTAGAGGGCTCGGCCCTGGCCCCACACTGCCCTGGGGCTGCCCCAGAGGGCCCACGAGCTCCCGGACCCATCCTGAGCCAGGACCCACCTCTGGCAGCACCGGCACGGCCAGCACCGGGGCAGCGGGCTGAGCGCGACGGGGACAATGATGATGCTGGCACCTGCATTGCAGGCAGCATATTCACCCCGGGATACACGTGTCCACACCAGGACAGTTATGTCCTGGACAGCCTGTCCACACCGGGACAACCACATCTGTGCTGGGACAATCACATCCAGGGCAGCCTGTCCACACCGGGACAGCCACGTTCTGAGAAGCCAGCTCACATTCACACCAGGGCAACCATAGCACAGACCCAAAACCCCACGAGAAGAGACAAGACTGGGAGTAGGGGACCCGCAGGGCAGCAAACGTCCTCCTGCCCACTGCCATGCCAGTGTCCTCACTTGCAGTAGCACCACGACTCCTGCCACTACGTCTGCTGTCACCACCATGTCACCCAGCAGATCCCTGACATGGGCTCAGTGCACGCACATGTGACAGCCATGCTCGTGCCCGCACTGGCATCAAGGCTGATGGTGACCCCCACAGCACATTCCTCAGCCTTGGTAGTGGCACCAGCTGCCCCCTTGGTGACAAGGAACACACCAGGTCTGTTGTGGCCTCCCTGCTGGCAGCACGCCTCGCACGGCATGTGCCAGGCAGGAGGAATGGCCGGGTTGAGGCCAGCACAGCTCAGGCAGACACATGGGCAGACACGTCCATGGAAGAGGGAAGCCAGAAGAGCCCCAGTTCCCTGCACCCCGAAATGGAGGAGGCCCAGTGGGTGCCCCAGCACTCTGCCCACCCCCAAAGATGGGGAAACTCCAACTCCCTGCAGCCCCTTGCTCCCTGCCCCATCTCACCTGGCTGCTCTGGGAAAGCCCTGGGTGTTCCTGGCACCCTGTGTGCCCCCAGATCCCACCCAGCAGAAGCAGGTGGGACCCTGCACCCCTTCATCACCATGGGATGGAGCTGGGCCAGACACCACTGGCTTCCGCCCGGCAGAGCTTCACTCACTGAAACTTCAGAAACCAACACCAAAAATATTCACGTCCCCTCAGCCCACGACCTCAAAACCACCGGATCAGGAGATGAATCAGAACTCTGCACCCACACGGTACCACTACCACTGCCATTGCCAATGTCACCGATGTGCCAGGGCACCCTCCTCTACCTCACTGCCACTTCAGAGAGGTCAGGACCCCCCCAGGCAGCAACAGACCCGCAAGAGCCTCCTGCCATTGCCATCGGTGGTCCCCACCATTGTCCCCATCCCAGCCGCAGGAGGGCACAGGCACAGCTGCCCTCCACAGTCCTGTGGGGACACGCACCAGCACTGACAGCTTGGTCCCTGCAGGATGGGATGGCGTTGAGAGGGGTGGCCTGGCCATAGGCACAGCCATTCTGTCACCTGCGGCAGGGCTGGACGACGCCCACCCACCCAGGGCTGTGGGAGCCCAGCGAGGAGGGGTCACTCCCGCCGTGCCACCCCCGGTGCCAGCACAGGTTCGGCCGCACTCACCCCATCACCGCCGGCCCGGTGAGCCAGGGGCTCCAGCCGCTCCTGCCGCTCCCACGGCCCCGGGCGGGTCCTGCCCGGCGAGAAGGACGGGGCACCCCCGGCACGGCAGGGGCGAGCCCGGAGCAGGAGAGAGCCCGGAGCAGGGGCGCGGGCAGCCGCACTGTTCCCGGAGCTGCGAGCGCTGCCAGGAGCTTTATACCGGCTCAGGAGGAAAACAACCCGCGGGAGCAGCGGCGGCAGCAAGAGGCTTTGTTCCGTGCAGCAGCCCCGGATCCAAACAGGGAAGCTCTGCCAAGTCCTTCGCCGTGGCTCCCGTGGTGACCCCGCTCCCGCCCCAGGCGTCTTTGGGGACACAGGGGACATGACCCCCCTCCGTAAGCGCAGGGTCCCACCTCGGGCGAGGGTTGTGCCCACCCCCTTGGCCTCACGCCCCTGGAATGCCCCAGCGCGGCGCCCTCGGGCAGCCAGCCCGGTCCCTGCGGCCACCACGTCCCGTCTAATGACAGGCTGTGACTGTGGGCGCTGAAACGGGGACAGCACGGGGACACGGCTCCCACGGTCCCCTCCCTTCCGCCGCCTGGGATGGCATCCTCAGGCAGGGTGGCACCTGAGTCACCCTCAGCCCTGCCCAAGGCACAGGAGGTGCCAGGAGGGTCCCTCAACCCGTCCTTTGGACCCTTGCGGCAGCCCCATCCCCTGCAGCGTGGCTGTCCCCCCCAGGACAGGTGACAGAGCAGGTACAGACCGGCCCGAGCCCCGGGAGCGCGGGCGGAAGGGCCGCCGGCGGGGGGGCGCAGCCGCCGGTGCCAGGGGATCGTTAGAACAATCAAATCCCGAGTTTTTTGGCAACTGCTTGAAGTGGTGCAGCGACCCCGAAGGGCTCGACAGCAGGTTCCCAGCTGGAGCCCCCCTCCGTGGGGGGACGGGGCAGGCGCGGAGCCCTTCCCGCAGCACTGGGAGCTGCCAGCATAATTCCACTCCGGAGCAATCCCAAATCCTGACACCGTATCGAAGACCAAAAGGGGCTCTGCAGTTGGGGAGAGGCAGCCACAGGCAACTCAGCCCCCAAAACCTGTTCCCACCCCAAACTTGCTTTCCCCCTCCCCGGGGACGCGCCCCGGGGCCATGGGAGCCCACGCTCCGTGGGAGAGCCCCGGGCTGGAGCCGTGCCCGGCGTTGCTCAACCCCGGATGGTTTCGCAAGGGGCAGTGCCCCGGCACCCGGCGGCTCTCAGTGGGCACCGTGCGGCTCGCCGGGCCCCTCGGAGCCTCCGTTCCCGGGCAGCAGGACGATGGAGGGTGGCTGGATGATCCCAGTCCCCTTCCCGGCCCTGAGGACACCTCGGATCCCTCCGCTCGCGGGGAGCGGGTGGGTGCAGGACTGCCCCAGACGTGTGACAAGGACACACACCTGGTCCCCTCCCTAGCCCCGCGGCACTCACCTGCCGAGGGCTGCCGGGCTCAGGCGCCGCGGGGGAAGCGCATGGAGCGGCCCCGCTGCAAGAGAGAGGGATGATGATGTTGATGATGATGATGGATGAAGAGTCCCCCCTGCCCCCGGGATCCACCGTCACCCCGAGAGCAGGGGCTGGGGTCACCTGGGACCACCCAGCATGGAGCTCCAGTGGTGGTGGGGGGACCGAGGTTCAAGGTCCCGGTCAGCATCGCTGCCGGCCGGGAGGTGCCCGGGTGGTGACGGGGTGTCCAGGAGGGCTCCAGGGGCCCCCCGGGGGTGCCGGGGTGGTCCTTGGGGACGCCTGGGGTTGGGTATTGCTCCACCTGCAGCCCAAGGAGCCGAGGCACCCGGAGCGTGTGCTGGGAGCCCCGGAGTGCCAGGACACGGCACAGCCCCCCCGAACCCCCCCACCGCGGCAGGGCCCCCGGGCAGGCAGCGGGGGAAGCAGAGCCGCGGCCGCGCCGGGACCTGGGGTTGCCAGGGCGGGGCGGGACAGGACCGGGAACGAGACCGGGACCGGGACCGGAGCTGCCGCGGGCGGGACGGGCGGGGCGGGAGAGCAGGAAGCGGAATAGAGGGGGCTCGGTGAGAGCAGCGTGCGGGGAACGGGGACAGCACCGACGGGGATGGGCGGCACCGGGAGGGTAGAGGCATCGGGACGGGATCAGGACCGGGACCGGGACCGGACCAGCCGTGCTGCACCCCGCCAGCCCCATCACCTCCGCTCACGATCCCGCTGCCGGTGCCGCTGCTTACCGGACAGTCCGGCTGCGCCGGGCGGGTCTGCGCGTCCCCGCGGGGCGGAACGGCGGGAGCGCGCCGGGGCGGGGCGGCACCGGGCGGGTCCGCAGCGCTTCCGGCACTGACTGAGCGGGTGTGGACACCGTCCCCGCAAGGGATCCCCGCAGGGCGCCCGCGCAGTGGCGCTGTCCCGGGAAGGGCGGATGAGGGGACCCGGAGGGTCCGGCGGGGACTCGGGCGGGAGGAGCCGGGGATCGAACCCGGAACCACGGGGCGGGGGTGGGG